AAGACCTGCCTTACACTTGCACATCACCCCAACTCACGTTTACCAATAAAGGCTAGATGCTGTACAGCTGTCCCCTGTGTTTGGTTTTTGCTCAAACTATAAGCGGAGACATTTGGAGATTGTTCATTTAAAATGACCTTTTATTCAGATTCATAATCACGCTGGCCGCAGCCAAAAGCTCAGGATTCAGACTGCTCTAAATGCATCACTTTACACATTTTTTCCTAATCTCAGCTCAGCATGATGACAATAACGTTGGCCATCTCAGGCACTCAACTCTGGCTGCAAGCACAGAGCTAGCAGAAGCCAATCAGAAGAAAGCCGAGCTAAAGGAAAACTAGCCTTAGAAGGAGAGCAGAACTTACAGACAGAGGGTGACCTGAAGGCCTACAGCAAGCCTGAGTATAAAGATTATTTTTCACAATCATGTGACGCTATTTCAGTAAAGCTACTGTAAAGATAAAAATAGTGGCTATCCCTTAGCCTCCAAGTTGATGCACCTATGATAATCAATTTCTAAATCCTACGTTGCATCGTTCAAGTAATCATGTTCATGAGATCTTCATAAAACTTGACCTTACAGTCAAAATCACCGAGATTTGATCTCATCCAACATTTTAAGTGGATACACCTATGGTATCAATTTGAAAATCCTAGGTCACTTCCTTCTTTGGTAATGGCAAGACTCTCAGAAAACCTGACCTCAAGGTCACTCATATTCAAACTCATCTGAGATTTTTAGTGGATAAATCTATGGTGTCAATTTGACGTGGCTCCATTCGAGTTCTAGTATTCACAAACTTGGATGTCCACAGTGCTGCCTGCCAAAGGGGGATAAAAGTATGTTCCTGAAAATGAGCATTAAAGGCCCCCTTTACAAATGAGATTTTTGTTTAAAAAAAATAAAATAAAATAAAATAAAATAAAATAATTCAGGCAACTTGATTTGAATAGCTTTAAAAATATTCAAGACCATTAAGAATAGTATTTAAGTTCGAAAGGTCAATGATGTCACTCCTGATGAAGAAGTTAAGACCTGACCAAAACTCTGCTTATGAAGACACATTTTTAGCAAAATACCAAAACGCTGTGTAAGAACAATTAAAAGCTTTAGCAAGTTAGCATAAATGCTTTTATCAGCCGGTCCACTCATGCAATCAGTTAGCTGCTCAGCACAACCGGCAGCAGGTCAGACCACACAGCCTTTTTTTTTTTTTTTAATTCCACCCTCTCTTCTCATCTTCTCTAACCTCCACTTAACCTGAACTGCTGGAGCAGGCAGGAGGAAGCTGAGCCACCTCTGCTTCAACACGAGTCCTTAATATGAGCCAGGAAATGTGCAAATTACCTTTCTGTCACTGTCACGGTGGGGAAGAGCTAAGCCAGCTTGTGTTTTCTGGAGCAGTGTGGACTACTCATTCAGAGACCATATGCACAGGCACATGATTACAGCTTACACTACGTGCACCTGATGCAGACAGAATTATATTAGCAGAGTGCAGAGTGCCATGGATGAACATGTCCATCTACACTGAAGGTGCCACATCAAAAAAGTTGAGTTGGCGTCTTTGTTAAAGACGGAACTTGTTAAATGACTTGCAACATTCTTGTGCAATTAAATGCTCTTCTATTAATGATATAAGTTGGCTTCATTCTTCAGATCAGGCCGTCTACTCCCTTATCAAACCGCTGTGGCGGCTGACAGCTGTTATCACACAGCTTGCTAATATGTAACAGGCTTTCCCTGCCTTGCGGATGTCCTTTAATCCCCATTCAAAACATTTCTTTGTCATTTAAGATATCAAATACAAACTTGAGCGGGGGAAAGTAATCCGTAGAGATCTGTGCAGAATAGGCTGGCTTTATCATCCCCACAATGCAATGTTATTCACAGATAACAACAAGACACAGAAGACACCACTGTGGACTTCTGAGGGGGCATTTATTAACATCTGTAGGCTAAATAGCAAAGTGGTTTGATTAATTCAGAGATATGAAAGAAGTTCTAACTGATGCACCAAAGCTGCCTTTTCTCTGTCCTCTCCACTCCAGCCAAGTTTGCTAGACTTGGCAACTGGCAATCGGCAACCACCACAAAGTTCACACTAACACACATGCAAGCCCGTACATCCATGAAAGCCTCTATTCAGCAGATTTTGCCTCATTTGAATTAGAGAAGCTGCCTTTGTCTACCAAATGTGGTTTGATTTGTTGGGCCCTTTCATTTTCTTGGGAAAAAAAAAAAAAAGGAAAGTGGACCAACATAACTTACCCAGCATCAGCTTGGGCCTCTCACTTATTCATTCCTTTTTAACTTATGTCAGCCCATGCTAACTGAATCTGATGACATTATTTCCAAAAGCTTTTTACTCTTCTACCCTACTACAGAAACATTCTGTTGGCTGCTGAGACAAATTCAATTCAAAACTCGTGTGAAAATGGTGAAGGCTACTGTGATACCTTCAGCTTGGCTCATCTTACACTTTTTCCTCCCCCTTTAAAAGTCTACAGTTGGGCGAGTCTCAGTTTTATTAGTTAACCATTTAATTCAAATTGTGCACTGGAATCAAGAGGCAGAGTGGAGCAATATTAAGCACATTGCTGGTTTACTGATTTCCTGCTTTCACAAAACAGGGTAAGTGACTGATTTACCAATTAGGCTGTCTTTAGTGGTTGCTGTCCAGTTAAGTGCCACGTACAAGCAATAGTTTTGCAACCTGATCAATGGGGATAAGAAATGTCATGTTATCCCCATGTTCATTTACAGGCTGAAAGTGGAGGCATCTGTCAACAGATTTTTATTTTGGCTTCTACAGGTTGCCAGTTTAGTGCACTTTTCAAACCAAGTACATCATAGTATATCATTAGTCATTGTTAGCTGCTGAACCTTCAGGATGTGGTTACAAATTTACAACATTACCCATACAACATTAGGATACAAATGCACAATGTAAGAAAATCTCAAATATCATGTAACACTAGTTTGGTGTTCCATACAAGCCAAATAATTACTTTCAGAAATCTATATGCAAGTTATTGAGCATGAGCTCCACCAGGAATATTCTGGCAGTCTTTCATTTGTTGTCTTTCTGGGCAGCCAGAGTACCCAGCAACGTCTCCACACACGTTGGATCAGTGATGTTCAAGAAGCACCCCACACAGCTGTGTATTGTTAGTCACATTAGCATGTGACCAATGCGTAGCATCCATAGCATCTCCCCCCCCCCCAGCTGTGCGTCTTGTCTTTTACGACTGCATGCCTGCACAACCAATGTGTTGGTTTAATTCTCATAGTCTCTTAGAGCAAAAAAAATCAAAGATACTGTTACAACACAGCTTAAAGTTGCAACATAAAGTGGAAACTGACAGAGTTTGATGAAATATTGGCTTTTATTTTAAATTACGTAATAACCTAAGCACGGTGAGAAGAAGTAGTGCCAACTCCTCAAAGCTAACCTCAGGCACGCCTTTGTGTCAGCTGACGAGGTGTGGATAAAGGCCTGCCTGAGGTTAGCTTTTCCAGCTAGACAATCAGCAATTAGACCCAGACAACACCTAAAGTCTCTGGCAGTGCAGCCGCAGAGGGGCATAACAAGCTACTATATGGCACTCAAGCAGTGTTATGTGTGTGTGCCATCACACTACATTTATGTAGGCTACTGCAAAGACACAGGAAACACCTACAATTCTGTTGTACATGTACAATGACAATTAAAAGCTATTGTCCTATTCTAAATGTGACCCATCAGGTTCAGTCAGTTTCATGTATAAGAAATGACTCACTGCACAAAAAAGGGTTGTGTCAGCATATACAATGCTGCGATATAACAACGCAAAGTTCTTTTTACACACATGCAGGCGTCTAACATTCCTACTCACACTTTAGCTGATGCTAACCATAGCAGCTACTGCTAAATATCTCAGTCCAACTTTATCAGCTGCTTCAACATCACCTTAAGATGAAGGCCCAATGAGAACCTACGCACTGAACACATACTAATGTGAAAGCATTGAGGAAAAACTGTGTTTAGGCAAAATGTGAAGTTTCACAGAGCTAGAAAGTTGTCTACTACTTTCTGACCGGAGAGCCTGTAAGGATGTTCATTTATTTCCCATGAGTGGCTGCCCATGAAAATCTTGTCAAACAAGAACTTGCAGAAGCTCTGCAATGAGTAACATTTTGCAAATTGTGGCACAATTTCTCTACAGAGCGCTCAAAAATGGATTCACAACACCACCACCACCACGTATCTGCTTCCCAGTATGACAAGCCCGGGAGTGTTTCACGGTTTATGTCACTCTGATTTGAACATCTTTGGTTGTCATTCGCTTACTTGGGCAGTACACGCAGTTTGAAGCTGATACCTTGAGCTGTGGGGGGAAAAGAGGTTGGGCGTCTGTGTTGAAACTAGCCAGCAGACTGTAGAGCCTCGTTTTGCTACATGCGTTTATGCAGGCCTACACATAGGTGATTCTTTTCATATTCTTTAAATAAAGCGATACATTGTAGGTGATAAAGAACAGAGTCTGGATACAAAGGAACGATCACGTGAAAGTAACCCTTCCCTGCACTTTTTAACCGCGATCTGACGTCTGTCACCCTGTGAACGCAGCACGGCGAGCTTCACATTTTTTGACAACTTCCTGAAGTCTGTGTTATTGTAAGTTTACTGCCACGCTCAGGTCGGGGTTAGCTACGTGGCTTCCCGTTCATCCAAGTCGCTCTAACCGCTGTCTTCCCACTGCTAAGACAGCGCTAAAACACAGTCCATCTTGGCAAGTCATGTTACACACACACACGCACAGCATGGGAATGCAGCTAAAAGCTTGATATATCGGGGTTAAACCCTCCGAAGCGAGAACAGGGGCACTATGGAGTGTGTACTCCGCGGAATCTGCGCCTCCTCAGTGCGAACAAACTCCCATTTGAAGTGTTTCTCGCGGACACCTCCACCGCGGTCACACGGCGACAGAAGCCGCTACGGCCGAGCCTCCCTTACCTGTATCTGGGGGATGCCGCCCGGACCGTCCACTGAGTCAGGCGAGTTGTCGAAGACTCTGTCCTTGTACAAAGACCACAACCCGACATTTGGGAGAAAAAGAAGAGCCGCTATGAGCAGCCCAGCGAACTGCAGCAGCCTCTTCTCTTTCCGCCTCATCTCTCCGGGAGTAAGCGCGTGAAGCTACGGCGGTGCGAACTGGCGAGTCCCGAACCCCCGCTTTTCCGAGCGGAGACAACTTTCACTCCGACTGTGGGGACCGACACCGGCACTGTGACGCTCTTCGGCTGGGAGCTCCGCCGCTAGGGGGAGTGAGGAGTTAAACCAGAGCGGGGGGGAGGAGGGAAGCTGGAGGTTCAACCTCAACAGATGACTTTTTTCCCTTTCTTTTTTTCCGAAGAGAAACTAAGACTACTCTTCATACTACAAGTCTCTGTTGTGTACTTATAGCCAACAGAGTGAAGCTACAGCACCATCATCCCGTCTATGAGCCCGGAAAGTTCTCTAAACAGCCGACGGCCTGTGCTGCCTTTAAATACGCCTCGTAAATATGCCAAACTTTAAGAGCGTTCGCTGCCTTCTCCTTATCAGTCCAGTTTTATTTTTGCAACTTTGCTTGAAAGTGTCGGCACACATGTGAAACCCGCCATATTCGAGTTGCTTCTGCATGTGAAACTGAGAGATTATAAAGTCGTGAACTTTGACCCTGAAGCACCTGATTGTGTGTACGACTGCTAGAGTTGCTTTGATATTGAATTCGTTGACCGATTTGTGTGTATGAGCTGAAAGCTAAATAATCAGAAAGGCAAGTTTTCAAAAAATTATCCTGAACTTGGGAATCCAGCATTGCTTGAGACATAATTACTTGTCTACCACAGAGAGAAGGGGGGAAGTCGTTTAATGATTTAGTATGAATTTAAATAAATCATATGAGTCACATGGTGCGACCTTCTGAATCACCAGATCTCATCTCAGCTGATGCCCCCTGGTAATTTATGAAGCAGCATTAATTTGGGTAATATTTCATTTAATCTTATTTGTGGCATTGTACTGAAATTGTTTGTAGGTTACCTAGAAGATCGTCTTAAATGAATAGAAGTGAATGCAGCTGTCTAAAATTATTTCATGCTTCTGAAGAAAAAAATTCTATGTTTTATGTCACAACTGAAATTAAACAACATTTAGGTTTAATTTTATTAGGAAGTCAAGACTGGATATACTCCCTTTGATGGCTACATAAGAAGTCGCTTGTTATGGTGGCTGATTCCTGCTATTGGGTGGCTGCTTCTAGAAATTCTATACAGCAAGTCGTTTGATGTGTAAAGTCCACAGCGCATTTCCACAGGTGTAGTGGAAGTGGACTGGTATTTGTACAGTGCTTTCTAGTCTTACTGACCACTCAAAGCAGTTTAGACTACAAGCCATTTAACCATGCGTAGACCGCTTGATTTAAAGCAATTAACTGCCTCACATCCATGAAAAATGTAAAATCACCACTTTGTCTGACTGGGAGAAGCTGGAGAAGCTGGAGATTACTCATCTATGCAAAAGGAGAATACACAAACTCCACACCAAAAGGCCCCAGCCAGGATTTGAACCAGGAACTCTGATGAAGTTAGGTGATAACGTGCACCACCATTTCCACCATTATATGAAGAAGGTTCCATGTTTGAGCCACGATCCTAACCTAACCTTGTTAAGGTAACTGGTTCTAAATTGGCTGTAGGTGTGGATGTGAGAGCATGTGGTTGTCTCTCTCTACGTGCTAGCCCTGTGATGGACTGTTAACCTGTTCGGGGTGTACCCCACCTCTTGCGCACTGTCAGTTGGGATACCCTCCTGTGACTCTGAATTGGATAAGTGGTTAAGAGAATGGATGGATGGATATTTGTGCAGTCGATTTCACAGGCAGGACGTTCCAATTTTAGTAGTGTTTGCGAATGACGCTGGTTATTTTGTCTTTGCCAGGAGGGAATTACCTCTGTGCTTTCAGTGATGTCACAGTAAAGAAATACACCCCAAACAGCTGCAAACATATCTACTAAACTGAGCAATGCCACAGATGCAGAGTTGGTATCTTCACTACATCTCGGTGATGTGTGAAACATGTAGTATGTACTATACAAAAACAAACAAACAAAAAATACAGTTTACAAAACTTCTTTTAACAAATTACGAATGTTACAGTTAGAAAAGAAAACCCCTGGCCTTCTGCATGCAGTAACTGACTTATGTGCTCTATTTTATGCATGCACAACTTCATCATATCATTGCAGATCACTAATAAAATACTGTCAGTGGTGTTTTTTTAAAATTAAAATCTCAGTGTAACGATTGTATTGGAAGATGTATTGGGAGTAGTTTTCAAAGAAAGCTATTGCACATCGCAGTAAAAAAAAAAAGAGAGCGAGAGAAGGTATTTACTAGGGCTGGGTATCGTCACTGATTTCTAGAATCGATTCGATTCCGATTCACAAGGTCCTGAATCGATTTGATCCACGATTCGATTCAATTCGATTTGAATCTGGGAAATTTTGCCTAAGACAGTCAGAAATATTATAATTCAGATCAGTACATTGACATATTTTTGTATCTATAAAAAGGAAGCTGATAACGGTAGACTTGTGCGTAACAAGCAAGCGAATAATGCAGAAAACAGATTTTGGGGATAGACGGGAAACTGTTCTTGAAGTACAGAGAGAGAGAGAGCTGTGCATGAAGTGTGATTTTATCGTGGTGGAAGCAAACAGCAAAAGTAAGAGGGAGTCCATGATGATGTTTATGTGAAGCTTAGTTTGGATCTTCTTTTGCTGCTGGTTCAGTCAATATTGTTTGGAGAGAGATAAAACTAACAGCTTTAGACTCAGCGCAAAAAGGGCGTAAACACAAAGCGTGGACCCGCCGAAACATCAGAATCAGCGAGCTGTCGGCTTTCAGCCCCGACCGTGTCCGTGCCGTGAGGTGAGAAAGGCGACATCTCGCTGATCCTGATCCGCGGGTCCGAGCTTTGTGTTTACGTCTTTGTGCAGAAGCCGTGTACCTGCTCTCATTTACTGTTTTAGCTGTTTGGTGGTTGTTGAAATTTTGTGACATTTCACCTGAGATTCTGGAATTTTGGGCAAAATACATTTATATAAAAAAATCGATTCAGGATTTTAATGAATCGATATCACGTTATCCAAGCCAGAATCGATTTTAATCGATGAATCGATTATTAAAACCCACCCCTAGTATTTACTGGTCCAAATCAACCTTTAGCCCCTTTAATACAGCTGAGGTAGAGCCAGTGGTGGAAGAAATTAAGCAACCGTGCCTGTAATGGAGACAGAAGCAGCCAGCACACTTATTTTTTAAGCATTAGTTGTGTATTGTAGTCTGCTGTGGGCATGTGTGAGTGTAGTTTTGAAATAATTGTTGTTAGCAGAGAAGAGACTGTCACATGAGTTTTCATAGTGCGAGCTTCTAAAGGCAAAGCCATATGCACAGAATATCATTAATTATAAGAGTGTATTAATGAGCTGTCCAAGGTGAAATTAATCAGCTATACTGCCATTGATTTTACCAGCCATAAATGACAACTAAGTCAGCTGCAGCTAATTAACATCAATTCTGTATGAGTTGGCCTAGTTGGATGTTTGGGCATGAAATAAACACAGTATAATAATTATCTTCTCCCCGGTGGACATGTACCTACAACAAGTAATGAATGAACTTCCTGACCCACCAGTATATCACATATTTTGTCAGTCTTGTGGCAAATTGACAAACAGAAAGAAAAAATCAACAACTTTCCCACCTCATCTGCATTAAAACAGCTTCTGACTAACTCCTTGTCTCCAGTCATCTGGAAACCCATAATGCCCTGCAAAGCAACTTGCTGCGAGAAAATTGATTTGTGGCCTGTAGCTTTTATTCTGGGTACACTGGGCTTGGTTAGGGCTGATGCAAAAGTTCAAGCTGCAAGCTGGAATTACTTGAGGAATGTCTGGGAGCTGTTCACGTCCCACCATTCAGTACCTTTTCAGTCGTTATTTATGTGTGAACAAACAGGAAACAAGGATTTTCTTTTGGGTTTGATCGTTCATCCTCTTGTCCTATATCTCTGTTGCTGCCTTTAGCTTGAGACTTGTGGCATCAGGACTAGTTTGCAAAGCCTCTTTCAACATTTTTTCCCACCATCCTCTTAGTCTTATGAAACCAGGTGTCCCAAGAACATGTTGAATTTGACTGTGAGTCATTCTTCAAACTGCCGTGTTAAAATGCTCATCTTTACAGCAAAAATAAGCTAATTTACAGCACAGGGGCAAAAATGTAGTTTTGGTCTGAAGTGAAAACTTCTCCATCCATGAAATCTGTGCAAAGTCTGAACCTTTGAATAATTAACCAGTTTTATTTTATTTTATTTATTTTTTGATGAAGTATAAAGGTTTGCATTATTAGGGGGATGGCCACTTTGACTAACAGTCAAGCACAGAAACAGATGGCATTAGCATAATGAGACAGCTAGTGGCTGAATATTTGAACTGAACAATTTTTTTTTATATATAACAATAATAAGAATATTCTTGCTGCTAATTGGATCAGTAGACTGTCCGAGAAGCCTGTGCTCCATTTTTAAGAGGGAAATACTCCTATACTATTTGTGTGTTATGGAGTATAGATTCATCCAAAGAGTCATGGATGTACTTTGCTAACCAAGCTAGTTGAGGCAGAAATCACCAGACACCCCACAATACGATATTATCATAATACCTCACTCACACAACAATATTATTGTGTTTTTCCATTTATGATGAGTATTGCACATCTATCACAGTTTATCTCCTTTTTTCAAGGTCGTCACAGTTAAACTTTGTCAGTATCTGTTTTATCTGATAAGATAAAGTTATCTTGACTGTCAAACATGGCAACTCTGTAAAACCTGCTATAAATGTTATGCCATCACTTATGGCTGGTGCTTTCAATCTGAGAGTGAATAGGGTGAAGTTGGCAATTACATGCAATCTGTTTCTGATAATACAGCAATTCACGTGATAAATTATCAAAAATCACACTGCTGCTGTCTACAAAGAAAATGACATTTAACAGAACTTCACAGCAACCTTCCTGCTGTACAGAAATATAACCAGAATACAACCAGCAGGAAGCTAGTTGAGTCGAATCCTCTCGAGTTGTCCTCATTGACAGACTCATTCAGATTGATAGCAACATGTTGGCAAGCCATCTGTATTCATAAATTTGATAGCAATTATCTGTCAACGTGCAACAGTTTCTCTGAGTGATTGCAGTCTTTCCAAGTCTGAGTGCAACTGTTTGCAGAAAGGTTGCCTCCCATCAGGTGATCTGTGCAATCCCTTGCTATCAAAATTGACCATAAGTGGGCCTCACCCTCAGTACAATCACCAGGAAGTCACCATTGTTCAAAAATGTGAACAATGGGGCGATCGTGGCTCAAGAGTTGGCAGTTCGTCGTGTAATCGGAAGGTTGCCGGTTCAAGTCCCGGCTCTGACAGTCTTGGTTGTTGTGTCCTTGGGCAAGACACTTCACCTGTTGCCTACTAGTGGTGGGCCCGGTGGTGCCAGTGTCTGGCAGCCTCGCCTCTGTCAGTGCACCCCAGGGCAGCTGTGGCTACAATATATC